CCTGCATGTCTTGTTCATACAAGAATTGTTCATTCCATTGAGCACGGCTGTACAGACAAGTGCCCACTCACGGTTGCCTGCGTCCACACTACTCTTGTGACCAGCTTCAAGCTCTGCCACATACGTTTGCCTTGATTGCAATTTTATATTGGCTGTGATGAACATGCCCACACGGGGGCCTCCTGCCCCCACTATCCTGATCTAGGATGACAACTGGGCTTCTGAGCCTCTTCTTTTGCTGGATGCCTTGCCGGCCGTGACGAATGTTGCCCACCTGGGGGCGTCCTGCCCCCATTTCCCTCCTTGGGGACAACTGGGTATCAGAGCCGCTGTTTCCTATCCAGACCCGGAACACTACCGAAACGACATGTCGACCTGTACCTGGCACAACCTCTCAAAAACTGAGTTGCTCACATTAGGCTCACGCCCCCCAATCCCCATCCTGTCTCTCTGTTGCAGGACTTCACTTCATTGCAAGTCGCGACAAAGAGGACGCCAACAGCTGTGGAGTCAGGAAGGCTGGCGACACCTGCACGCAGTGCTGCTCTGCTCTGGTGCCGCCTAGTATTATGTAACATCCAGGCAGCCGCCTGTATCTAACATGCGTTCAGGCAACCGGTCTCGTGCAGCTTGTCAGTCATGTACTAGTTGGTTGGGGAAGCACAATGCTAGCTGCATGCTTGACAGCCAGGGGCAGCATTGAGTCATTGAATATTAAGACGATAACACATGTCGCGGGATCATGGAGGGTAATATCAGAACTTGCACGCTGGAAATGGCAATTGACAGTCGCATCTGTCTGTTTGGCAGGGGTGCCTCATGAGCCTGGCCACATAAGCTGTCTGCAACGAAGGTGTACTAAGCTATGAGAAGATACCAGCTGCTGAGATGAGCAGACCCTGGGGAATGGGGTTGTCTTGTAGCGTCATGCGGCGGGGCGCAGGATCGCAAGAAGAGCGTTCACTGATACACCACAGGTATTATGGTCAAAAGGTTGGGTCGAGACAAGAGCAAAAGCCCCTGACTTGGTTGGGCCCCACAGGCGCGGTGCAGCCGCTGCTCTGGGCACCTGCACGCATCCGCGGGGTCGTCAGTCCTGGCGTGCTGTGAGAATACTCTGTGCCTTTCACAGCCTCACAGAAGGCCGGCTGGCGGGCAACGCGACCGCTGGCGCGACTTTGACACATCTAACTGCAGGATTGACTGGTTACATCAAAGCAAACGCCACCTGCCACACACAAGCAGGATGCTAACACTACCTGGTCCAACACATGTGCAGAAGAGACAAGGCTGCTTGGCAGCAGTGGGGCAGGAAGGGGCCGCAGCCGCAAGCAACCGCTCTCGGGGCGCTGCCACTTCCCTACAGGCGGCTCTGCGTCGCGCGCGTATTCCTGCGCATGCCAGCGGCTTCGCTGGACAGTCATGAGCCGGCATACTGTACGGGGATACGGCACACGCTTAGAGGGTCCCAACAAACGTACTTGAAAACACCCAAGGAAAACAAAGCGGCGCGGCGACCTGCAAAGAGAAAACGGGCCGACTTGTGCAGAAGACACCGGCCACTGCCAGACACCGGCAGCCTCTCCCTCAAAAGCACACACACAGACGCACAACGGGTGGCCGCACTGTGCTGCTGCAACGCGCGGAGCTGCCAGCAATCGCTACCGTGTGCAAAACACGCCACACGCCACGAGCCGCCGTCAGCGCGGCACGCGCGCCGCGCTGCCGCCCCCTCACGCCGCCTCCACCCGCGAGCCGCGCCCAGCCGCGCCCTTTGACTCCGCCTCCTCCCTCTCGGCCCGCACCGCGGCCAGCTTGTCGCGCAGCGCGGCGGAGCCGGCGGTGCGCTGCATGAAGGCGACCCAGCGGGGGGCGGCGGAGGAGCCGGCGAGGCGGTCGAGGGCGTCCACGGCGCGCAGGCAGGAGCGGAGGGACTCCTCGTGGCGGTCCATCTGGGGTGGGTTGGTGGGGCGGTTGGTTTGGTTTCGATGGTGAGGGGGCAATGGTGACGCGATTTGGCAGCGTCCTTTGGGGGTGACGGCTTGAGGGCGCGGGGAAAGCACCACCACAGGGGTGCGCTGGCTAAACGGGTGCGGTGTCAAGCAGGCGAGCAGCGGGGCGGCCGCGTTTCATGCGACAAGTTGGGGGTGCATGGGCCGCCTGCGCATTTCGCCGCGCAACGCCCATCACGCCCCCTCAACAAAACCCTCGGCAGCTTCAAAACCTGAAGCCCAGTGCGACTGCGTCGAGCCCTGGACTTGCCGCCAGGGCGCACGCATGCACGCACGTACGATCGGCCGCCCCAGCTTTGCAGCCGCCCACCTCCTGCTTCACCGCGTCCGACTTGAGCCGCGCGGTGAGCGTCTTCTCCAGCGGCTCCACCAGCGAGTCCAGCTGGCGCGTTGCGAATTGGGAGGGAGGGGGCACGTTGGACGATCACGCCATTTTTGGCAGGTCGAAGCAGTCAATGAGGGAATCATTGCTGTGTGCCGACGCTTTAAGCAGCAGGGCAAATAACAAGCAGGTTTCAAGCGTGGGCGGCACATCGCCTCGGGGAAGGGTTTGCTTTCAGGTGTAAAATCAGCGGGGCAGACTGCCCCAGCCCTGGGGGGGTCCCGCTCAGCCCCGCACCTGCGCGAGCACGGCGCCGGGCGCGACCGCGGCCGTGCGGGCCAGCATGTGGTGCGCGGGGGCCCTGACGTCCGGGTGGTCTGCCAGTCCAGACAGCAGGCACTTGAGGAACTCGGGGTAGTCCAGGGAGCCTGCGAGGCAGTCCAAAGGAAGATACGCGATGGCCAAGGTGAGGCTTGAGAGGGCAGCGCGGGTCATGTTTGGAGGGGCGCCTGAGCTTTGTGCGCGCTGGATGACTTCGAGTGGGGCAGCACCAATGCGAGCGGGGAGCGGCCACGATATGGATGCTTGTTGATTGAAACCAGGTGCTTGCTGGCTGGATGTTCCCGAAAGGGCGGGGCCAACATGCAAAAATGATGCAGATGCTAGAGGCCAGCAAATGAGCTTGACCATGGGCACAGTACGACACATGCAGCACTGGCCGTTCTCAAGGAATCCAGGGTTGAAGGCGCCCCAGGCAAGGCATGAACAACATAATGGCATCACACAGCACGACCTTCACACGGCAACACCACAACACAGATGACTGCATGCAACACCACACCTGAATCAGCATCAGCAGCAAATGAGGGCAAGCAGCCGCCTTGACAAACCAAGGTCTGAGACAGCAAACCAGCTGAAGTGAGGCGGAGTGAGGCCAGTCAAGGAGCAATGGAACAGGGAGGCCCACCCAGCAGCCGCCCACCTGGCGCCGCGTCCAGCAGGATGTCGAGGCACTCAAAAGCCGCCTTCCGCAGGTCCAGGCCGTCGTCGATCTGTCAGGGGAATGTGGGGAGGCGGTGCAGTCGGTGTTGAACAAGGCACCGGTTTGGACGGGAGGATCAGCGGCGCGTTTGCATTTGGGTTCCAGATCAGCTGAGGCGATGACTGTGGGGCATGGCGCCCCTGATAGGCCAGGACAACCATCCCCGATATGAACCTGGCCGCGCTGGCGGCACACTCGGTTGAGTCTGGCTGCAGGTCAAACTCTTGTCACAGCCTCCTTGCAAAAGAAGTTGAGGTAAGGCTCCCCTGCGCACCTTGTGCTTGAACGGGCCGAGGTCCACGGTGCGAATGAGCTCCGCCCGCACGGCGGTCTGGGCGTAGAGCACAGGCAGCAGCGCTGGAAGGTGGGGGGATACGAGGCGCGGCCGGTGGTGGGACACCTGCGGGCGCGGGGAGGGTTGCGCGTGAGCGGAGGCAGCCGGATTTGGTGGGACAGGTGCAGGTCGGCGCGGCGGATTTGGTTGGCTGCCTGCTGGCTGAGCAGAGCCAGCTGGTGGCTTGTATCGCAATACACGCGGCCTGGGCAGCGATACATGCGACTTGCGAGCGGGAAAGACGACACCAAGATCGGGGAGTTTGGGGGGGGGGGGGGGCGCGCGCATGAGAACGCCGTCGCCTGGGACCGCCCGGCAGCCGCCCCTCTCACCGAGCTGAGCGCGAGCACCGCCGCCTTGCGCACGTGCCTGTCGTCGTCCCCGATGAGCCGCAGGAAGTCCAGCAGGCGGCCACTGAGCGCCGACTCCACCGCCAGCGCGGAGCGCACGCTGCGGCCCTCCTCCGCCTTTGAGAGGGTGCGGGTTGGCGGGATTGCGTGTGTGCGATTGGTGTGCTCCCATACTATGCACAGCTCAATTGTGCGGGGTCCCAAGGCTTGAAGAGAGCAGCTGAAAGGAGGCGGCCCCTTAGGATATATGAGGGCGCAAGCACGCCCCAGCCAAGAAGATTCAGGCGTGCCACCGCCGACTACCACCAGCGTCGACCACGCAGCGATTGGTGCGCATGAGAAGACCGTACGAGCACCGACGGCGCTAGAATCAGCCACGCAGTACTGGGCCACACGACCCCAATCTCACCCCGCCCCCCCCCCCCCCCATGCGACCAACCTGTGGCGACATGATGCTCTTGACGGCCCCCGCTGCTGCAGAGCGCACTGGGCTGCCGGATGAGGGCAGGGCGTCCGCCAGGGCCCCGATGACCTGGCGGTCAGAGGGGGTTTGGAGGGGGGGGGGCTTGGTTGGTTGGTTGAAAGGCGGAGATTGTCAAGCAGTTGCCATGTCATTGACGGCAGTGTACAAGAGGGGGCATGGGAGGGCGGGAGGACCGCCCAGGTCCCGCCAACAGTCTGGTGGCCATCACTTATGGCCTTCATCATGCAATATGCCGCGATAATAACACGACCATCTGATTTGGAGACGTATTGTGGAGCATGACTGCATAGCGCAGCGCAGCGATGGCGGCCCCACCTGGTCTGGCGCCAGCAGCGCGAGCTCCCCCAAGCACTCCGCCACCGCCGTGGCGCACTCCTCCTCCCCCCCTGCGCAGCGCAGCAGCAGCGCCAGCAGCTCCTGCACCTTACCTGGGGGCGAGGGGGGCGGGGGGGCGGGGAGCGGGGATGCAAGTGTAGAAGTCCTCAGCGGCTTTGGCGGCGTGGAGGGGGGCTGGCCCGTGAACATAACAAGGCCCATAACAAGGCTGATCTGATGCCTGTCCTGACATGCTGGGCACCCATGGAGCACGATTAGCGACCATACAGCAATAACACCCCCTCATAGATACAGACCAAGTAAATCGCAGCCTCAGACAGCCTCATCGAGCGGCCTCAATCCCCAGGTCACCCACCCTCTGAGAGCGCTGGCACGGGCGCTGGAGCGCCGCCGCTGCTTGCTGAGTGCTGCTGCTGCTGTTGCTGCTGCTCCTGCGCCTCCCTGGCCACCAGAGTTGTGAGGACCCCTTTCAAGGCCTAGCGGTGAGGGGTGGGGACGGGAGGAGCACGCGCAAGAGAGACGAGTGTGGGAGGGGCGGGGGATGCGAGTGCACCAGCGGCGTGCAACTGCAAGAATGGGGGTTGTGCAAATATGCGCACGTATCCCCGGGCTTTGGCGGGGAGCCAGCCCCGGTGCCAAGGTAATGGTGGGCCTTTCCAATGCTGGCGAGGCGGCGGTGCCGTAGGGAATAGTGCAAAACCAAAACACCTAGCAATGTGCTCAGCCGGCCATGGGGGCCGCGCGAGGGCGAGAGCAGTCGCATTCGCGCCAAGCAGCGCGAGCCGGGGCTGCGCGGCCCACCTGCAGGAGGAGGTACTGGCGGGCGGGCTCCCCTGAGGCGGCCTCTATGAGAGAGCAGAGCTTGGGCAGGGACCTGGGGGCGGGGATGGCGGTGGGAAGGGGGCAAGAGGAGGGCTCAAGGCTGCAGGTTTTCTCTGTGT